TAAGGTTTAAATTGGTCTTCAGCTGTTTTGTCCTTATGGCCACATGTTACTAAAAATGTAGAGGCAGCTTCTTCATAAGTATTGTTTGTGCAAGGTGACTTAGTGACATAAGTACAAATATCTAAGTTCTCTATAACAACTTGTTTAAATACCAACAAGCTTGAGTCATCCTTGTATACCACCAAAGCTGACAAATTGAGAGTTGTGTACTTTTTGAGGAATCTTTTGGTTAAGGCTTTAAAAATAACTGTAATATCCATGCTATGTGGACATCAAAGATCCTGTGGTTCCTTCCAGTAGAAATGGAGATTGTGCCAGTTTCCTTTGCCAGAATAATGTATTTCCTTCAATTGTGGTGCAATGTCCTGACTTTTGGCCTCATCTCTGAAAATGCTTTGTCTGTGTATCAAAGCTATTAAAGTGTCATGTTTTGGAAATGAGTAAAGCTATTTAAAAACCGTTCTAGGTTGTGTTAATATGGGACGAGTTTTGTCATACTGCATATCAGACTTAACATAGCCCTTGCATTTTTAAAAATCTGCAGACAGTTTTTGGAAATAAAACATTGTTGTAACTTCCTGGCTTTGTTAATACTTTTTTTGGTGTATATATAGTGAAAAACACTACTGGATTTTCAACGGTGTTTGGCACATGTCACTATTATCATGCACTTTAAATACACTTGAGGTAGATAATACTGAGTTTCCACTTATACTTTCTTCCATTTTCCATAAAAAGAAAATAATGCTTGCTCTTCTTTAACATTATGTCCTTTACATGTAAAAGAGAATAGAAGAAAAACTTTTCACATTTTGAAGGCTAGACATATCAAACTGAAAAATCTAAAGTGTATACGTTTTCAGGTTTAAAGCAAATACAGTTTCAAGAAGCCTTGTTGCCTATTCCATTCTCTCAGTCTGAAGCAACTTTACTTCTTTTACTTCCATTAGATATTTGTCTGTCTACAATTAGGGGAATTAAAAAACCAAACCAACCAAACCCCCTCAGTGTTGAAGATTCTAAGTGTTGAAGATTCCAAACCATCTTTGTTGCTGCATTTTAAGCCTGTTACATCTTGTCTTAGTACTCCCTTATCTATGCACTGAGAAAAAAAAGTTCTTCTTTGTGACAGTGTTTATGCCTGAACACTGCTATATTATTTTTTGTCATGTTTCTGACCCTAAACAGCTCCAACTGTAGTTCATGTTTTGTGGAATCCTGGATTCACCATCCAGAGTATTGGTCACCAGAGCTTTTGTCATTTCCTGCCAAAGAACAGACTGTATTCCTTCTCCATAGAATTACTTTGTACAGGATGTCTTTAGAGTATTAATATAACCCTCTTAAACCTTCTTGAAATACCTATTACAAATTATCAGTAATTAAAATACTGATAATATTTTCTGGAATGGTTTGTAAGTCATGTGCCTTTTATCCTTCTGCAGAGCTGCTGATTCTGTTGGAGAAATGATTCCTGCTTTCCTTGGTTCTCTTTCACACTCTGCCTGTGGAGACATTCCAGATGCTTGGCCTCTTATGCAAAACTCAGCTTGTTGTGACAGCATTTCTATCTGTGAATCATATTCAGAACTGGCTGGAAGATCTGCAAAATCCTGCAGCCCTGAGACTGAAAATGCAGCCGCTGTTGAATTGGAAAATAACCAGGAACCAAGTGAAGTACTTCTTTCAGCTAAGTCTCTTGATGAAAATGTCGCAAAGTCCTTTGAAATCTCCGAACATAGAACATGCACAGAAGTTTCATCACTTCAGAACTCGGTGACTGCTGAAAGCCAGCCAAAGACAAAGTGTAATGGAACAACAAATGACTCTACGGACTGATAAAGAGGTAAAAAACATAACTACAAAGGAATGAGAATAAGTGCTCCAGGCATGTAGAGCTAGATAAATATAGAATTGTAGAAGTTCTAGGGTTATATTTCTCCATAGGTTACACCTAGCTATTGCTGAAATAAATCAAACCTCTACAAGAGATCCAGCAGTTTCACATTTTTAAATCATTAACTAAATTTGAAAGGTGTAATTACGCAAACTGTGGTGTTGAAATATTATTCAGAATACAGGGGTAAGTCTGTACATCAGTCAGCTTTTATCAAGGATTTTTTTCATTAAATTTTAAGAGAAAAATTCAGTTTAATAGCCTTGTGACCAAACCATTGTGTGAGGCTGGCCTTTGTTTATGAGTGAGAACTGAGGAATTGGCTTTGCTTATTGCAAACAAAGCATAAAAGACATACAAGTGTTCATTTAAAAATATTTACAAAGCCTTTCTGTGGAGTTACTGCAGTAGTACTAGAAACACAAGGGAATCTCAAATGCCTTATAATGCCATTTATATTCCCATGTCATCAGATAAAATGTAAGTTAGTCCATAAATTGCAACTTCATGTGTAAAAGCTCAGAGAAAATACAGGTCTGAGGTCAAAATGCAAAGAGGTGATAAACAGTTGTCTCAACTATGTAACAATGGAACTGTTGCAAAAAGTCACATTGCTGCTGCTTCATCCTTATGTCTTTTTTAATATTACCTGTGTTCCGTACTTTTAAAATGGAATTTTCTACTTTTGGAAGTAATCTGGGGCCTCAAGTAACTAATCTGTGACATTAATATTGGGCATACACAAAAATAAAACATAATCCCAAATTATAGCTTGTCTTCTGATGGCAAGTGGTGTTGTTACTCCAGGCCTATGCAGGTTGTGGCTGAAAAGGAGAAAGTCTCCTATGCATGAACTCAGAGGCAGGAACACAAGAAGTTGCCACTAATATTAATAATGCACCAAATTTAATTAAGAAAATTATGCTATCTGTAATTACCAGCATTTTGGGCCATCTACAGAAGTAAAACTGCATTCCTTTGATCCTCTTCCATTTGGTTTGCACTAACACTTTTATGTTATTCCTAAATTTGAAGTAGGAAGTAATTAGTATTTAGCAAGAACCACACATATTCTGAAAGCATATAAGTGCACTAGTTTCTTTGTAACTCCTTAATTGTTTAGGTGACATTGTCAAGAGGAGAAAAGGGAAGGGAACTGCTAAATCTAGAATGGCTTTGCCATTGACTTCAGTGGAACTTGTAACCTGAAAATCTGCTGTGTCACTGACAACATCAGCCTTATCCAGGTGGCACATCTTTCTCTCAATGTATTATTTACAGTGTAAAGTTTCGTCTGTAACAATGCTGGGCACTGCCTGCCCTTGTGTCAGATAGCAGCACTGACTTTTATTTTGGTGTGTGCCCAATATTGTTTGGTGACAGTTGTACTCTGTAGCTGTGTGTAGGAGGGGACAGTGACATGGATACAACCTGAGATCTCAGCACTGCCAGTTCCTAGCAGTTTTAAGGGAATACATTTCCATATTGACAAGATTTTTAAAATCAGAAATTTGTGGGTGTTTTCCCACCAAACCATGCATCAACTTCAGAGGTATGCAATTAATATTATTTAAGAATTTTCTTAGATCAAAAGAACCACAGGATTTCAAAATATGATTACAAAAATTAGCTTTTATTTCACTATACTTGTTACAGTGTATGAACTGTAAATTTTCTTACTGATTTCTATGTGTATGGAGACAGCTTTTCTAGCATCTCAAAATCCTGTATGCTTTGATAGTTTTCCGCTGTCCTCTATTACTACTGAGATTTGTGTATCCTTTTGAATCATCAAGGTCTTCAGGAGGGTTAATTTTTTCTTCATTCTTTTTCCTATAATAGACCCTACTGATTAATTTTTTAAATTTCTCCCCATTCAGACTCTACAGTGCATCATTATGTGTGCATTTTTGGCAGAGGAATTTCAGTAGTGTTCACAGGACAAGACCAGGACTAGGCTTACTTGAGATGTACTTTCAGGTTGAACACTGGCCAGCTGTACAACTCCAAGACAATTAGTTCATCTCAGTCTATAGCATTTTTCCTCATCTGCTCTTCATCGTTCATGTCTTTTTGAAATATTTTGAGTCAAGGATGGTCTTTGTACTGCCTGAGGATGTATTACAGTCTTTCATAGGTCAATGTTTTATTATTATATTTCAAAAGAGTAACGCTAAATCAGAATATTGCATATCTTATATATGTACACAAAATTCTAAGCTTTTTAATGTGGGTTTTAATACAGGTTTAATCTTCAGGTTTAGGTGAATTTTACAGCAAGCAGTAAGTATACCTCTGCTCTTTTAGTGTTTAGTCAAACACAGAAGTGCATACAGGTTTCTTGTGGGTTTATGTAACCACTCTTCTTTCACTTTGTTTTAGGGACTGGAGCTGTTTCTCAGCACTAAAGTCGAATGCTTCCCTTACACTCCCCTGCTGATTCTCATCAGACATAGTCAGGTCTTCAGTGTTGCATGGTTTCCAACCCAGCTGGAAAAAAATGGCATCATTTCACACCTTCTGAGCAGTTGTGTCTGAGCTGTAACAGCTGTGAAGTTAAACTTCAAGGAGCATCCTGTGAGGACCCTGAAAGTGGATTTATGACCTTTCCAATCTATTTCTGTTTTCTCAGAGTCTCAAAAGGTCTAATGGAGTAAGCTTAATAGTATATGTAAATAAAGCAAGAAATAAAAATACTTCAGTGTTTAGGGGGGGTCTCAGATATGGCTACAGGTGTCAGAAGATGTGGGATAATATGGTGCCAGTTACTCTGCCTGCAGATTTGTGCATGCTTTAGGACTTTTTTTCTGCTGGTTTTAATTTTAAATAGTATTCCTGCTATTGAAGGATGTAAAATCTGTAAAAATAACTCCATTTCTGTTTATAAAAGGATCACCTATTAATAAACTGAAGCTTTTATTATGTATTACACTATAGTCAATAAGCTACTTTGGGGAGTTAGAGAATTAGCATGTTACAGTATGTGTGGTTGAAGTCCCCTCCATCCAATTATTACATTTTTGGGAGGTGGCATTGTTCTGTTAAGTGTAGCAGGAGATTAGCTTTAAATTAGATTTAGTTTAATGAAGGTCAGACATATAGATAAGGACATTGTGTTTAATTAGTAGTCTCAGTATTGGAATACAGCACTTCTTGTTATAGAATATAATTTTGAATGTCGGAATAATTGTAATCAACTGTCAGATCAAAATGTCAGACTATAGCAGGTGTGCCATGAAAGTATTTATACAGTGAGACTGTTACAAAGATTTTTTTATTCGTGCATTATTTTTAAGGGTCAATCTCTGTGGTGAACTCATTGATTCATTTAGAAGTCACTTTCATTCAAGACCCTCTGTCCTTCTCATTGTAGTACTGCATCAAATTCAAATTTTGCACACAAAACATAAGCATAAAAAGCAAAGTGGTTTGCTTTATCACATCCCTTAATATCATTTTTTTCAGACATTTTCTAAAAACTAAAATAGTTTTTGCTTTTGTGGATAATGTCAGTAACCTCCACTGATTCATGACACTCAACAGGCTCACACTTGCCTCTGATGAACTCTAGCAATTATTCCTTAAAGTACCCAATGTGCCTTGACTAAAGCAAAGCAATCAGCAAAACAGATGCCAACAAATTGGCAATAAATATTACTCATCTTTCCACACGTGGTTTGTGTGGCAATGGAAATGTTGAGACAGCATTCAGAATCCATTATGGAAAAAGACTTCTGCTTTGAAGCACACAGAGAAGGTTGGACCTGCACAAAAATATCTAAAAACAGTACAGGCAGCCATGGCAGAGAGATGCTCCAGCTCTTCACCACTGAGATTATTTCTTAGTGCAAAAGCCAGGAATAACACTTCCCAAATTCAGACCAATGTGAACAAGTTACCCAAGTGATTTTCTGGCTGTTGTTGGGTTTGGTGTTTGAAGTAGTAGGTACCACCTTTTGGTCACTGATGGAATAATAAGCAGTTCTACAGTACAATTACTCAGATAAATACTTTGACATATATATTTATATATGAGTAGTTTTCAATAATTTCTTTGTATACTTTCATACGTTTAAGAAGTTACAAAACATTATTTTTCACTACATGTGCATGAAGAGATGTGTGCTTCTTTGTATATACTTTGTAAATAGAAAAAAATCCAATGTGCATTTCAGTATATGGCAAAATATTTCCAGAACATACAGAGATTTAACTTTTCACTAATAACAGTTCTTGAAAAAGTAATGTTCAGAAATTTTGCCAGCATCTGCCACAGTGTGTTTTCCCATTGGAATTTAAAATTTGTATAATTGTTTTTATCCAGCAACCCTAGAAAAAGATACTCTTTTTTTTTTTTTTAAATTAGTGAAAGCTTGAGAGAAAATTGGGAGGAAAAAATTAAGAGAGTGTTTTTTAGATATATGTGTATATTTTGTATATACTTTTTTCCTTTATTTAACCAAATTGGTCTTTTGTATATTGCCTGTGGCAAGCAGTGTTGTACATGCCAATAGAAAACATCCACTATCACTGCATTTAGACTGCCCACATGTCATGTCTAGGGACTTATAGTGCTGTTTTAAATACTCCTTTAACAAATGTAAATTACAACCTTGTATAAATTGTTTTGTAATACTTTTTCTACTTGTGAATAAAATGTTATGTGAACCAGTCTTGGTTTGTTGACCTCAAATTAATAATAGCTTTCTGTACAAATTTAGTGATGAATTTTCTAGTTCTTTTAGAATTTCATGAAGGGGTAATTACATTAAGGTTATGGTAGAATTTGGTGTGTCTTTGTCTTGAAATGTTTGCAGTTTAGTAGTAACATCATTCTTCAAGCAGGAGGATCCTGAAGAAGCAGAAATTTAATATCAGTGGTTAAAATCATAGTGCTTCAAAACTGTTTAAAAATTCTGCTTCTCAAGAAAGGGAGAGGGAAAAGAGGTGGGGGGAAAAAGTCAAATTGCTTTCTTTACAATGTCTTAGAAAAGACAACCTGGTGCTCCACACCACCAGGTTGTTTCAGACAAGACAGATAAGCAAATAATGAGAGGAGCTGTATTTTTGGAGCAGGATTGGAGTCATGGCCCCAATTTAAATTAATAAGAAAGGAATGGCACAGTCTGACTGACTGAGTAGAAGAGTAGAAGACTGAGGAGAAAGAGTATTTTGATAATTGCATAAAATTGGTCCTTATGATAAAGCCATAAGTGGTGACTGGAAACTGAATCCAGATAGGGATTGCAGATAACATAAAGCCAGGGCGCTTGTCTGGAGTGATTTTTGGGGGGAAAGTTGGGGGGAGACTCAAAAGCTGCTCTGTCCCTGTCTCTGGTTTAGTTGAGCAAATTCCACATTGATTCTTTTCGGTGTAATGCTGTTATTTCTACATTCTTTGAAGTATATAATTCAGAGCTTAACTGGGGATCCCCTGCTCAGAATAGCAAGGACTCCTCATCCTCCTGTGTCCATGTGCTGCACTCCTGAGCAGCTTTCTACTTGTTTTCTGCTCTGACTGCCACATGCCCAGCCCACCTGAGTGTCCTTGGAGTTCACATGGAGATCTGCAAGGCTGCACAGCAGCACGTGGCCTGTTTGGGAGGTCACCTTGTGCCAACACAGGGATCTTCATAACCCTCAGCACTGCCAGGGTTGCAATGGAGTGCCCCTGACAACAATTTTTAAAAATATAATCAATAAACAGGAATTGAAAAACAGATATTTACTCTATCTGGAAACAAAGCACAACTCAGAACACATGACATACATGACCACAAAATTTGCACAGACATTTGCTCACACCAATTACTATATAAATGTCATTAACCAGGCTCTAATTTCCCATCCAATCTTTTCAGAAAGTCTAGGAAAAAAGCCACCCACCCCAAAATCTTTTCCCTGCTTGCATTCCTATTCATATAACAGTATTTCCTGCCTTTTCTACAAGGTAGACCAAGCCCTTAATCCAGTCCTCCCCATCCTACCAGGAGTTTGAGATCACATGGCTTTTCCCTTTGTTGTGGGCTCTTTGAGGGCCTTTGGTTTGCATTCCTATGAAGTCCCTCCAAGCAACAACCTCCATGCATTAAATTAATCCTCTCACTGTCTTTGGTGATGGAGGTTTAGATCACTACCTGCAGCACATTCCAGCACAGACACTGCTGCTTTGTTTTGCCCTTTTAAGAAAGGGGGATTGAAGGAGGGTGCAGTGTTTTATCAGGCATGGAGCAAGCTGAGGCTGGGCACTGCAGGCAGAGCCACACAATGCACATTTTGTGCTGGCAGGGTGCAATTTAATCCATATTTAGTTTTGGCCTGAGCGATGGTAAAACCCACTTGCTCTTCCCATAGCAGCACATGAGCCATTTCGATTATGTCCGATAAGGTGGTGCTTTCAATAGGATAAAAATCATCGTGGGGGGATTTGCTGGGGAGCCTGCTGCTCTCCACACAGCACTGAATGATGGGATTAGAGGAAATGTTTTCTAATAGCCAGCTGACAGAGAGGGTGGCAGATTGGGGGCACACTGAGGCTTCTACACAGTGCCACAACTTCAACAGCAGGGTCAGCTGAGGAGGACTGAGGGGGTTTTCCCATCATTTGATTTTCTAAATCCTTATCACAGTTGGATTTTTTTTTTTCCTTTTGGTTGATCTGACAAAAGGAGATTTGGCTTGCTTAAAAGGTTATAAATGACATTTTTCTAAAGCATTGGTGGAAAAGCAGACAAAAAGAGAAAGCAGGTTTTAGAAACTGCTTCCCCTGAGCCTCAGTCTTTGTGGAGTTTTCCTTTTCTTTTGCCCAGGTTTCAGTCTCAGTTTATGGATGGCTAATTCACATGCTACTTAGCATGCAAAAATTCCCTTAAATATAGCAGCTAATATATCAAAATCTGGTTGTAACCAACAGTTTCAGGGAGAGCACCAATTTACAGCTTAGAAAAAATATTCAACTATTGGAATTCCAGAGATCATTTTGATTTGCCCCAGATCTGTATCACACAGTTAATTGGAACATAACAATAAACAAATATAAATACAGAATGTGTACCAAATAATGAACTTGTCACCTTGCACATGACCTGAGGCAGGGCATTGTCCAGGTCAGTTAGTAATTTTATTCCTAAGTCTTTAAATTTGAGGAAATTACAGAACACTGTGGACCAATTCAGGGGAGGCCTGTACATCCACCATGCAAGCACTTATTCTGCATGTGGCAGAGATTACAAAATGAACTGAGAACATAAAAAAAAAATACTAAAGGTTGTTTTTCAGTTTTTTAAAATGCCTTTCAGTCCAGGCATCCAAGCACAGTAGACATTTCACAGGCCAATATGGGAGCCTTAGGGGGAAAAGTTGCACACAATGGGTGTTCTACAGACCAATATTGAACAAAATTGCAGCAGCAGAGGTTATTTGTCATTAAAACAAGAATGAGAAAAGGATATCTAGCTTTTAGTGCACCAAAAAAAAAAAAAAAAGAGAGAGAAAAGGGGCCATTACATTGCAAAACATACTTTAAAAGCCAAAGTAAAGCACTAGTCTACAGCCACCTTACTTCTCTAATTTCATGTTCACCTAAACACACATAAACTCTGCAGCAGCCCAAAGCAAAATGAGGCAGATCTGGAATCAGCAGAGTAACAGCATTTACCATGCCAGTTTTGTCCATACCTTGCAAATGTGCTTTTTTCATTTTGATCTTGATTCCAGCACCATCTGGTAGCTGAGTTTAACCTGAAGAAATTCAGCAGCAAGTATCAGCTGGGCCATTTGTTGTCTCTCTGTTGCAAGAGAAAAAAGAAAGTTTTTGACCAACATGGTGTTGGTTTATGTTGTTAGATACAACAGTAATTTTGTCCCTTTATCAGAGTTTCAGCTTTATTAAACCTTTTCCCTAAGAATGCTCAACAACTAAAGCTAAGGGGACACAGCACCAGTGCAAGAGTGAGAATATCTTTCTGACTGTAACGCTAAAACCGACTCATAATATTATTAAATGCAAATAACACTTGCATTTTGTCAAAATTTATCACACTTTTTTTTATATTTTGGGATGACAAAAAGACAAAAATCCTTGATCAGAAAAATTACACACTTTGACAAAATGCTATGAAAATTTACATGAGGAAGCTTTCTTTGGGAAGGTTTGTGCAGCTACTCTCCTTGTTAAACCCTCAGTCTAATAAAATCCTCAATTTAAATATACCTTTAAATGTACTTTAAACCTTGGAGGATCTGTTGCTTACTCAAGAAGGACCAATCAATTTTTTATGGGCAAGAACTACCTCAAAGTTATCTTCATACACAGTTTTTTAACTGGCAGAACAGACGGACTCAGGCAGAAGAGACTCGAAATCCTTTAGGTGATAAAATGCCTGCTGTATTGATGGGTTAATAGAAGCAAGCCCCGTGGGTTCAGCCTTCTCATTAATACAATGGAAGAAGCTGTGGGATCTTCAGGGAAGAGCTGAAGAATGCCATAAATTACATCTCCTGTGGCTTTCAACAACAAACAGACAGGGGCTGGAGTTGACTCAAGGCAAGTGCTGTAGGAGCGATTCCTGAAAAATACCTGAGTGCCAGATGATGTTTCCTAATAGACAGAGTGTCACTGAGGAGGGCTTGTGGCATTTATGGCCCAGATGCTTTCCTTTCCTAGAGAAGAAACCTTTTGGTTGCCTTTCTGCAGCGAGGGGACTCTGGGGGCAGCAGGAGCAGCCGCAGGAGGCAGGGGAGAACAGGGAGCAGTGCTGGCATTTCCAGTACAGGGCAGCCTCTTGCAGCTGGTTTCCTTCTGCAAGTCTAGGGCTGCAGACATAAGCTGTAAAAGCCCAAAAATCCCCAAAGATGCAATATTGCACCTTCTGCAGATGTATCAGTGTTGTAAGTGCAGCAGCTGAGAGAGGTTAGTAAAAAGCGATTATTATCATCTGTTAGCTGAGGGGGTGAACATAAAACAACTAAAAGTTTTGGACTCAAGGCTTCCTTGGATCTGCTTTCTGATGTTTGCTTTTCATCCAGTCCAAGGTCTACAGCTGCTGCTGCTCCTCTGAGGATACCCCTGTGGTTCTTACCTGATCTTAGGGAAGAGAAGTTGGCTTCCAGTTCGGCCTTGTCACACTCCATGCTGTGAGAGCTGGAGGGTTTAAATGCCTGACAATCTCTGTTCTTTTCCTAATTGCCTCAGGTTTTGGACAAAACAATAAAAAGATTGTATTCAGATTCTGCTTAACTTGCATTACATTTTCTCATGGGAAAAAAAAAAAAAAAAGAAAGGCAAACCTAATGCCACCCAGAATCCTAATGGCCCTGGAATCAACTACTGCTTCTCTTACTGCTGCTCTGTCCTCTGGCCCGGTAACCAGGCCAGGAAAAAATACAAAAATACCCACATCTTTGACCAGATCAACCTCAACCCACACCAACAACCCATTCTTTAAAAGTCTGCTATTGAACCACTGCCTATGGGTAGTTCAAACAAAAGAAAACAAAAAGGGGTGGAGGGGAAAGAAACAGGAGAAAAAAATTGCATAAAAGTTGTACTGGAGAATCATTCAGCAAAATTCCCACTTGTGTATTAAAAGCTCAGCTAAATAACTCTGGGCTGCATGGGAAAACAAGTAGGAAAGAAAACTCTTCTATTCTCTAGAATTACCCTGCCCCTCAAGCATACCAAGCATTTTATCTTCTCAGTCTTCATAAAATATCCATTTTGTGAAGAAGAGATGCTGCATTTACCCCTTTTTCTTGACACAGGAGGATTTGTCCTCCCCATCCCCTGCCCCGTGTCAGAAATAGTAACACAGTGAAGACTCTTTCCACTCAGGAAAGGAATGTCTCTCTTTCTTATCCCCTCTCCTCCTGTTTTATGGCTCCCTCCTACCCTTCTGCCTTATTTATCACCGCTGCAATTGTCAGGTACTTGTTTGCCTGCTTTCCTCCAGGTCTGCCTTTCCCATTCTCCCCAACTGCCTGGTCTGATCTCCCCTCGACACTGGAAAACAGAACAAATTCATTATTTGGGAAGATGTAACACATGCAAGGTAAAGCTTGCTTTTAGACAGGCAGAGAGCTCAATTCAAAGGCAATCTACCCAGGGATTCATTTGGTTGGATTCTTATCTGTGGACAGCTACTTCTGAAATGGAAGAAAAAGTAAAGTGCTTAAAATGGAAAATTTTTTTAAGTACATGCCCTGATTGGGATTTTTCTGCAAGAACCCTCCATGAAAACTAGGGACAAGAGCTGGTCACAGCAGGAGACAGAGCTATCCAAGACAGTATGTAAAAATTGCTGATAACAGGACTTACCCTCAGGTGCTGCAAAATAATTATCTGTGGAAAAGATTAGACAGGTCAGTAGGGAAGTGTAATGGTTTAAACTGACTGGAAACACAAAGCTGTCCTCTTTTTTTGGTGTGGAACATTCACTTTCTCTTCCCTGAGATAATCTTACCACAAAATACTGCAGCAAAACAAATAATCCTTCATATCAGATCTACTTTGCACACCTGGTATTCAACTCAATTTCCTAAATGGGTGAGTCAAAGCAGGTAGGGCTGACCTGTTAGCTGAGACATAGCAGGGCATTTTCTCCTGTGCTCTTAGGCTGGTGGAAAACAGCACCAAAGAGCAAAGAAGTTACAGCAGAAAGGAGGACAGTTAAATTGGTCTCCTGCTTAGAACTGCTAATTATAAATCAGCCCAAAGTTATAATGGTTATAAGTTATTTGGTTATACTCAATTAAACAGAAATTATTTTAACAATAATGTTTTAAAACTCTTCAAAAACTTAAGAACAGCCAGATGGAAGAAGTGGAAGACAGAACCTAATTTTGGCCAAACCAGGCAAGAGTCCCACAGGCACTGGGAGGGGACTGGACAGGGAAGCACCCGCTGCCTGCAGGCTTGCTGGCAGCGCTCCCCTCCCACCTCACACCCTCATCCCTTCACCCTCCCCAGATACTGATGCTGAACAGGTCCACTGTAAACAACAAAATTATATACTTTTCTATTATGCTGTTTCAATCTTTACACTTCTACAGGAAAGACAACTACAGGGCCCTAAAACAGGGCTTCCAAGAGCCCCTTCATTCAGCTGCTGATCAGGGCTGGGCTCTGGCTGTTCCAGTCCCTCTGCAGCTCCTCACCTGCCCCCAGTGCAGGCAGCAGCAATGCCTGGCCATGGCTCACAGCAGCTCCTCTCTCTGTCCCTGCAGCAGGAGCAACCCTGGGTTATCATGGCATCCGCCCCTCCCTTGGCTTTTGCAAAGTGTTTTGTTTGCTCAAAGTCTTGCAGTGGGTGAGTGGCTTTTACACAGGAAATATGTACACCATTGCAGTGTCCTGCTGTGCTGTGACATGTGGCCACAAAGGAGCATTTTCACTTGGCCTGCTTGTCTCAAACTCTTTATTAGGTGATGGAGTGGGAAACTGCAAACTGGGTCAATGAGTGAGTCTTTTTCTTAGCACTGCCCATGGACCTCCAGCAGTTGAAGAATACTTCTGTCTGCAATTAATCCATCAGTTTGTGGGGTGTGGGAGCCCAGATACAGGACTGTCTGAAAATGGTGCCACTGCCATGTGCAAGCTCTTCCAGTGGTCTTCTGGGTTGGGATTTTTTTTGCTCCTCTTTTGCTTTAATTAAGAAAAAGTGAAGTCTCTGGACAAGGAGGGGGACTCCAAACACCACAGAGAGCTGGCAGAGCTGGCAGCCAACTCGGTGCAGCACTGAGGAGTAGAAGCCATAGAAAAATGAAACATATTCACCAGCAGTACCAAAAGGGAAGAAAATCAAGATGGAAAGCAGGCTGTACAAAACAGATCCTAGAAAAGAGTAACATTTGTATCATGCCATCTGGGATTGTATGAAGACAGCGACAGTGGACTCTATGAACACTTAAAGCATTTTTTAACTAAGTCTGAGTAAGGTATTCAGGTGATTTACATGTTTCCAGTCAAAATAAAAAATTCAACATTTTCTTGGCAGGCCTCAGCAAGGTTTAATTCCCTCTTTAGAGCTTTGTGAATTCCTATTTGAACGAGCACAGCTGTGCTGTACACATTTCAGTTCAAACCAGCCCATAAGAACACGCTTCCCGAGCCCTGAGTTCAGCAAGACAGCTGAGGATGTGACTTGAGTGTGCCTGCAGCAGCTTCACCAGGACCATTGTGGCTCCCTTGGGACCAGCTTGCTGTAATGGCCCTTTAATTACCTCCTCATCGTTAGCTGATCCCACCTCAGGGGTCTGAGTGTGAAATTCAGACCTGGAACTGTAAATTAAATACTGTAAACTCCCAGCTGAGCCAGCCAACAACTACTGTCACTTCAGCATCCTTTTTCTGGGAGAGAGAGAAGAGGCATGCTAGACTCAGGCCAACAGGAAAAGCCACTGAAGGCATCAACACTCTTGGGACATTGACACTGTGGCTGTGCTGCTGAGCAGCAAGAGCAGGCCCAGTCTCCACTGGTGCAGCCCTCTCGTACAAAATCCACCAATTACCAACAACTCCATCCCCTCAGTGTCACCAGTGCCCACATTTCTGTGGACATCTTCCAGTCCCTGCAGCTGAGATGGCAATTCAGCATTCTCACTGATAGTAATCCTGAAAGTGGAGTGAGATGTGGAGGCTGCTGGCAAACACCCCAGCGCTCCTGAAGAGTAAGAAAATACCAGTTTGGCTTCCATGGGCCCTGACAAGGGATGTTATGAGCCCCAGATGACCTCTGGGGATATCAACACCTACTCTTTTCTAACCATGTCATGCTGAAACCAGTGCTTCCTTCCACTTTGAGCTGGTTTATTCACATTTAAATTGCTTAGAGCAGTAATAATGAAGAGAAAAATTAAAGACACCCCTGCCAGACACTTGCCTGCCTTTCTGTTAGTGTTCTGTTTGTATTTTTTTTTTGGTACAAATAGCAGTGTCCAGGAAGCTGTAGTATTTATGATATAGTAATAGGGAAAAGGCAAACAAGAGGTAGGAGAATGAGTTGGCTGCAGAGACAGAATTTGTCTTTCTCAGGACCAACTTTGCAGGGCTGGAGAGCAACACCATCAGTCCAGATGGAATTTCTCTGTAGGGTAAGTCAGTATAAACAGGGTAAATTTATCTGGCGGATTTACTCAGGTTTATTTCAGTTCAGTGGAGGATGGTAAGGAGCAGTAGCAGTACAAATGGAAAGAACCAAAACTGGCGTTGATAATCTGGCATAACAAGGAATTTTCTCCATTTTGCAGAAGACAAAGCTTTTCACCTACTCCATAATTTTCCCCAACATTCAGGGGGAAATAAAATAGAATTACAGGATATCAGCCAAAGCACCAGATCAAACTTCCTATTTCTCCTATTTCCATGTTCATACTGTGATTGAGGTTCCAGGTCTTGATAAATAAACTATCCAGGAGCTCACTTTCAACAAAGCCTCTCAACAACCACAGAAGCCCCATGCTGACTTTGGCCCTTAAACTCTGTTTCAGAGGTCCAAAGCTAATGCAGCATGCATATATATGTCCTTTAGTTGACTGAGGGCACTGATGGATTTTCTACTGGAGCTGGAGCACCAGAGGGCCCTTTGGGTGAGCACAGTGTGAGCTGAGGGTCACCTTCCCCAGTGCTGATGTTGATAAGATGTGCACAGCCTCTCTGCTCCAGGCTAAAAGCCCAGGTGAATAATGGAAAAAGAAGAGCAAAGCTCAAGGCTCCTGTTTGCTCCAGCAAGTCCTGCACTCCTGAAGTGACCTTTTCCATAGCGTGTGGAGCTTTTGACAGGCTCCTGACAGCCAGAGGACAAGTTCTAAAAAGGGGTTCGTAGCTTTTACTGACCCACTTAAATTTGCAAAACTTTTTTTTTTTCCAAATAAGGGGAAAAAGCTGGAGTTGCAAGATGGGATGAGAAACAAACCTGAAGTGGAGAAGAAGAAAAAAAATACAGGCTATAGCCAGAGACGCTGACAGACACTTCTGACAGATGAGGGAAAGGCATGGGAAATGGGATAGCTCACAAAGAAAAACACTGAATGTGAAATTAGCTATTTCCCTGTAGTCAGCCAGCCTACATCAGTTTTTCACGTACATTTGAGACTGTCAGAAACAAACAAACAAAAAAAAAAAGCTGATTTTCTTGGAAAACAGAGATTACAAACTGAACAGACTATTAAAACCACTTTGTCTTGGGAATTTGGCTTAAACACCAGATGAAATCAAAGATAGCTAATTTGATTAAGCAGAACAACTTATCTAAATCCCTACTTAGGGAAAACACCGCCAGCAATTCAGCACTGTTTTGCAAAAGACCTCCAACGTTAAACAGTTTCAAGGAGAGCAAAACCTACACACACATGGCACTTCTCCATGCATGAGGGACACGTTTGCTGGGCAGGCTTCAGGGCAAGACAACAAATTAAACTTACAAGAGATAAGAAGAAAATTTGCCATGATGGTGAGGAACCAGGAGTGATGAGAACTTACCTTGTCACCATCAGCTGAGGTTAGAGACCCCAATGGCACTGCCTCTTCCTTGGAATGGCACCTCCAGTTCTTGGGGAATTCCTTCCCCAACCTCTCTGTGACAGCACAGGGAGAAAAGGCAGTATATTTGTGCAAATGTTAAGAGACAATGAACTGTCACTTCTACTCTCATTTGTAATGAGTAGGATTTACTGTGGCTAGCATGAATCACTTTGATAACATATATAATTAGTTTTATAGAAGTTTTAGTATGTTATAAAAGCTGCTCTATCACTTGTGTTCCCCCAGGGCTCTCTTATAAAATGATTTTGTTACAACTGTATTCTCCTTGGAAGTGAATTGCAGACAACTGAGCACATCTGTATGTCAGAGGCATTGTAAGCCAAGGCATCCAAAGCAATTTTAATGCCTTTTTCATTTCTAACACCCATGTGAAGAAATGCAGGCACTTGTGGGCTGCAGCCCTATCAGCTGCCCAAAGCCAAAGACAGCCTCTGCTTCCAGGCTGTGGCTCAGCCACCTCCACACAGCCCCTGGCTGCCCACAGCAGATGCTGCAGATCAGCAACCCAGGAGCTGGGATGCTGTCAAATGACCTTGGGGGAAAACACTCAGCATAAATAACACAAGTCTTTAATAACTTCATTTGAACTACAGAAAGGTATGTTGGAAGAGGATTTGTCTCTGTGCAGGGAGATGCAAGGTGAGTTAACTGGATTCCGTCTTTGTGAGGAAGAAAAGTGGGGCTGGTAGGAGAGTGCACTAAGTGAAACCAGCAAGCCCTTCTGATCTCATACATGCTTTTTTTATTTCATATGTATTTGAAATAATGTAGGCTATGATTGAGCCTTGTGGCTACTTCAGAAGAGCACCATTAATAAACAGACTATTTTTAACAACTGCCCTGGTAATCTGCTGTGAGTATGCTTGATGAGGTTAAGGGCTGCTGCAAACATTAGCCAAACACCTTCAAACACCTACCTGATAAATCATTCATGAGGAGCAGCTGCCTGCAGTGTATTGAGAGCTGCTGTCCTGTGGCCTGTAACCTAAAGGGGCTTATCCACCCCAAACTGGCCCAGCTTGGCAATGCTTCAGCTTCTTAGTGGGTCATATTCAGGGCATTTCCCCAAGGCCCAGCTTTCCCACAGCATGGGGAAGGTGGATGAGAAATGCTGTTAGAGTACAATACAAACCCCAGGCTGAATGGGCACCAGCTGCAGCTGTGGACAGGGTGGGAAGCACCCGCCATGGTGCCATTTTGCTTTTCCTCTGACATGATCACAACCCCCAGGTCAGTCACAGCCCAAAGCATCCATCGTCTCCTCCCACCCTCTAGGTCATGTCCTAGTGCAGCTGTAAGAGCAGGTGGAGATGGGGCCACTTAGAGGTGCCTAAGGACTCAAGTGAAAAGGTCATAAGGAGTCAGAGGGACAACATCCAGAAGGCACTTCATAAAACCCACAATGTCCTGAAGATTAATTCAGAGCATCTTCTGTGTCTATTTTAGTATTGTACTACGTGATGCTGTCAATGATGCATGAACTCAGTCATGTATGACAGACAGCAAAAGCAAACAATGATGGCATTTGAAAATTGAAAAATTGTAACATTAAAAAAAGTCCAGTACTTTGAGGTGTTCTGGACAGAAACCAGAGTCCCTGACACTTCTATTCCAGCCATCTGTGCTCTCTCTCTAGTTACTGGAGCAAGAAATGGCACATAAAAGAACTGGTTCAACCCCATCCTCAGACTGGTAGGATATATTCCATTTTGAAGATGTCTGCTTCTTCTCATAAAGAGTGAATGCAGCCAGAATGGCAAGTTTTGGCCACTTACAAACTGCCTTAGAAGCTACTGGCTCTTTGGCAACTGCTGGCAAGAGGCATCCCACTCCCTTCCCAGTGTGCTTTTAAATCTACACAACAGCAGAGCACCAGCCAGTCATCCTGTCAGATCTGTATCACCACTTTGCTTCTGGTTTAAGCAGTTTGTCTCCAAGAGATTTTTTGGATACTTCCTCCAAACAAGAAGTTGTAATGATTTCCTACACCCGTGCAGCTCCACATGCCAGCTGTTGAGGAGCAGCCGCAGCAGACTTGAAAATAAACAAATCTCAGCCCGGGGAAGATCAGAAGGGCCGACAGACAGCCCTACTGGTGCTGATTTATACTTCCTTATCTTTTATCTCCTTCCCTCTCCTCCCCGCGCACACTAGCTGCTCTCCCACGGTCCTTCTCCCAGGGAAATCCATGTGCTTGCCTCTTGCTATCATGCATCTTCAATTCTCAAGTTCCTTAACTCTTAAATTCTTTCTAACTTTAATGTACTACTCCCCTTTTGGTACACTGCGAACCTGCTGGGGCAAAGAGCCAATTTGAACTTGTTCCCAAGAGTACACAAATAAATCCCTGGCTCTGGGAACACAAAATCTCCAATACTTTGCCCAGAAGCAATCTGAAATAGCAGACACACAGTGCCTCCCACTTCACAGCAAGCAGAGGAGGTGCTTTGGCTGGCACTGCTTTTCCAGCTCTCCACAGAAGACAAGGGGAAGCTGCCAGCAGGACAGTTATCCAGCAAGTACAGACTTGCTACCCTTGTGGAAAAACCTCCATCTAAAGACACTCTCCTCACCCACAGCTTGTTAGACCACAAAAGGTGGCTCTTCCCTGGTGGAACTGAGGCTACAAGACTTCTCTGAATTAATCTGAATTTGGTTTTTCAGAAAACAGTCCAGTTCTGATGTACATTTCTGGTGCTGATCAGTCAACCCCAGCTCTTCTCATACGTTGTCCCTGCTCTCAATATAAACTAGAAATCAGGTGCAACTTTGTCTAATTTCAGCTACCAGCTCTTGTTAAACACTTGTTTTCAGATCAATGCTCAATCTTTCAAATTTATGCTTCTGCATCATCATTACATCAATCTTCTGATAGACTAAGATGTGTATTTTCTAAGCCACCAATATTGCTGCCACAATAATCTCTTCTCTACATTTCCATCTTAGTGTCATCTATAATAGTAGATTTGATATAAATTCATTTTTTCTTTTTGCACAATGATTTAGATTCTGACTTGCTGTACAAGCAGCTATTTAACATCTGCAGAAAAGCTTTTATCAGCATATGATATGAATTCTTCCATCTGGCATTCCACTGAACAAAAAGCAGAAACATTTTTGAACACCTGCCTTTTCTGTTACTGGCAGTCCTGTAATTTCCATTTCAGACTTACTGCTGTGCAAAGAAAGCCCTCTTTTTCTCTGCCCAAGTTTTTAACTCAGAGGTTTTTTTGCTTCTGTATCAACCCATTCCCATGCCTGGTTTCTAATCTATATTAAATTCTTCCCTTCTCTTCCCTGCCTTCTTGAATGCTGCCTTTTCCTCCTGTTATCATCTTTGAGGTTTAGAGAACTTCATCCAGCACCAGCTGTATTTATGTCACCTGGTAGTAATTATTACACAATATTTCAGTCTATCTTAAGTGAATCAGAAAAATAATCACATCAAACATTTAAAAAAATGAAAGCAGCAAAGTTCACACCTCAGACTTTCAAATGTAATCCACCTGTGCTTTTCTGATGTGTTATAATTATGTGTTATTATTTCAGGATTGCATAAGGGTATAATTTCTTCTGAAGATGTTCACTACTTATTTTCCATAGCAGCCAAAATCCAAAACATTGTAAAATTTCAGATTAAAAGCATGATGCTGAGTTACAGTATAATAAACCAAACTTTTGGATAGCTGGTTCAGCAGCCCCAGTGGGAAAGCATGGAATGCTGGAAAAGGATTACAGTGGTTTTTACATTTATGAAGAGTTACACTGCTGGTCGCAAGAGAGCTCTCATGTTACTGAGAGTACACATTATTTGCTGGAAAATAAGTCTCTTGAAAAGCAAAAAAAGAAAAAAAAAAGAAAAAGCATCAGACATTTGAACAGCTGGAAGCATTTTTAGAAACTATCAAAAAAAGAGAAAAAATTTAGAATATTTCTCCTTCTGTAGTTAGCCTCATTATGGTGGTATATAATATGTTCCCTAGAGGCTTAATCATGTCTACTGTTCAATCCTCAAAGGTTATTTCATTTAAAAAAAATCAATGGAGTCAACAGTTTCTTCACAAAAGAACCTGAAGCTGTCATTCTGAGATGTATTTATTTTTCTATCAGCTCTCATCTTTGTCAGATATCTCACGAGTTATAAATCTGAGCAATAAGCTGCAATCCAGCGTGCTCAGGCTAAAGGCAAGATTTTCTTCCTTTCTTTGTTGACATCTGATTTCATATTAGGAAGATATTGTTTGATGCCACTTTGATAAAACCTTGAAAAGACTGTTGTTTGCAGAAGGATCAAATGAGATGGTGAATTACTGAAGTAATGGCAGCCATGAGCATAAAGCAATGTGACTACTACATATAGTTTGAAGAGGTATCTGTACACTAAATCCAATACTACTTGAATTTTCTTTCAAATTAAAATGTAGGAGCAATCTCTTAATTGTCAATGCTCTGCTTATTCCGCCAATTATGATGCTTTATTTTCTTTACCACAGCACTTCCAGAGCCGTGTCAGCACAAGGATTTCCGTTTGCTCAGTTCTTTTTGTCACAATGAATCTTTCAACGTGTGCCAGCTCCAGATAAACATAATCGCTAGTTTGTTCCAGTACAAAACCCAGGCAACAAACAATGAGAGGCTCCCTTAGCAACACCCTTGAATTCCCTTTGAAATACACTTCCATTAAATACCCCACTATGGGCTGTTAAATTCACATTCATCAGCTATTGTATACTTTACAGGCCTTCCCATCTTCACAATGTGGTTCTTCTCACACCTAAATGGACACTTACTTTGTAGGTTTTTTAATGACTTTACTTACAGCAAAATGCCCACCTAGTTTGCTAAGCCAAACCATTCATTCTTTCCTCTCAGGAACCAACCGCAGACCCACAGTGGAGTGAGTCAGTGGTACAAGAAATAAGCCTAGTTGTGGTACAAATCTGAAAATGCACCCACTATGGCTTAACCAATGCATCTAAGAATGTCTAAACCCAGCTCTACCAGAATGACAGCGCTACTCACACAAGGCAACTTCCACCTTGCAAAAACAGGCAGTGAAAAAACTGGGTAAAATATCAAATACCTTTTGCACAGATTCTGCTAAAAAGAGGGCAAATCATCCAATCAGCTCTCACTCTTATTTATCCCTTCCCAAACACCCACTTTTTCTGGCTGGGATCTTTTACCTTTACTTGCTTCTCTCTGTTATTTGCTCTCACGTCTCACCTTTGGTTTCGTCCTGTCTTGCTTCTCTCACTGCATTTCCGCTGAGCAGGACACTTAAAATATGTTTTATAACAACAACCTAAGGAGGACCTCTAAACAAGGCCATTCCTACAGCAAAAATCACCAGGGGTTTTTTAGGTGGTTTGGTTTTGGTTTTCATTTTTTTTTATTTGTGATTTTTTGGGTTTTGGGGGGGTTTTTTTGTTTGTTTGGGTTTTTTTTTGTTTGTTTGTTTTTTTCCCCAAAACATCCTCAAATACCATTTCATAATTTTCTTAGAGGGAAAAAGAAAAACCCACTGATAACATTCCCTTTGTTCATTACCCACTATACAATACGCAACCTTACCAAACTGCTCCAGCCTATCCTGGAAAAACATTTTTGTTCTAAATTATTTTGTTTCCCCTCCAAAACCCACCCTCTTGTACTTTAAACAATTCCCCAAACTTGTCCACTCATCGTTAAAAGGAAACTGCATGTGAACAAACTTAAAAGGACTAGATAATCTGTAGGGTACCTATTTTACTCCTTTGTCTTTCTTATGTGTTGCAACATATCTCTTTCCTCCTCACCTAAAATTTTCCATTACAGACCAGTAGGACCACAGATTTACTTCTCCCATCCTTCTCTTCCTTATCTCAAATACAGCTTCTAGTTTCTTTCTTTCCAATTTTCCCTTTGTTTCAAACACAGTTTGCTCTTCCTAGTGCAGAACTCCTACAAAAAATATGGTTAAACAAAGTTAAAGAAAATCCATGAGCATGTGAGAAAGACCTGTGTGAGCAGTTCTGGGCCATAACATCAAGAGGTAAACCCTAATAGTGAATCAATGTGTGCACCAAAAGACCTTTCAAACCCCTCCAGTCACCCTGAACATGAGTTCAATTCCCATTTACTCTCTTCCAACAAGATCAAATTTTCTAACAGACCATGCTAGAGGATTTGTTCTCCCAAATTCCATGCTTAAACTCCTATGCAATGGAAAACAGTCATCTTCATAAATGAAACCAAGTGATCCAATAAAAGTATTTATTACCGTTCCACCAACATGAACAGTCAAACTCTAAAATTGTTCACCAAAAAGCAAAACCAGTCACAACAATATTTTATCCACAATTATAAACACGTACACAATCTTCCACAAAAGAATTCGGTTCTGTTGTTATGAGTCCATGATAAATGTTTCAAAGTCATGGTCTAAGTCTGAAACAAGGGCATCCACAAAATCTTCAACTGAAGGGGATTTCTGCAGCATACCTACAAAAAAACAAGACAAGACACTCTTCATCAGGATGCTGTGACCTTGACAGCTTCGTCAGTGGCAGCACTTACTGCTAACTATCTTTTAATGTCGCTATACAGCAGAAACAGCTATCGGATTTCTTCGTCAAGAAAAAAGTGCAATTAGAGTGTAGAGGGATTATTTAATTTCTTCAAGATACCTGTTACACATTTGCACAGAATTGACAGATTTCAAGGCTTTTAACTGATTTTTGTCATTAAGACCTTGTTTAAGCAGGGAATTATATCTGTTTTAAAGCAATGTAACTGTAGACTCAGTCATTCCTAAATGACTGAAATAAAATAGTGATTGAGCAGGTGAATGACTGAAATAAAATAGTGATTGAGCAGATAAGATATATAAATCCTTATCTGCTAAGTCTCAGTTCTGACCAAGCCAGAAAAAAAATGTATTTTCTGAAAGCATTACATACACCTTAGAACCATTTAATTTAGCCATTTAAAATACAGCTATATCTGAAAATTTTGACAAGGCACAAAACATAAACAAAAGCATTTTTAATATACTGCAGTTTTGGTTTTGCTTTTTTGCAGTACTAGGACTTTTTTCAAGAATTTAAATTACTATATCTGTTAGCTACAGCACTTGGCTACATGATAACAGACAAGAAAATTAGCATCATGAATTAAAATCATGCCCAAGTACTTCGTCAGGTAATTTTAGAAACAGAGAAACTAAAAATTTCACCCCTTCCTCTCCAGAATCCCAATTTTTTGATGGCATGAGAATATATCCTTTAAATTATTTTCAGATGTTTCTTTGTACTTAACATCACCTACAGTTGGTCTTTTCACTGTTATTAACATTTCAAGATTACACATGAAAATTTACTGCATAACTTGTACCAGAAAAAAAGCCCCAACCAAAAAAACAAAAAAAAAACCCCAAAAACAACAGTACAACTGGCAAAAATGTAAAATTTAATCTTTGTATTTCTTTGAAGTTATCTTTCTGGCATCTGCCAATGTAAATATAACCTTGTTCTACCCTTTCTGATTGGTGTACCTACTGAGCATAAATTTATATTCCTTCACATCCTCAACAATATTTGCTTTTGGTGGAAATCATAATTGCATGCTGCTAAAAGACTATAATCTTTTACTATAACACAATGATTCAAAACCCATCAGGAAACATATCAGCTCAAAGTAAATTGGTGTGAGCAACCAAAAAGAATTTTGTTGCTAAGACCTTACAGAATTCCATTTCAATCTGATTTAAAAACATGTTACAAGTGTCAACACAAACTGCCATGACCCAGTAGATTAATAGCAAGCACTAAAAGGAAAACAAATCTCACACTATATATAGATTAACTGAAATGCTGTTAAATGAAGTTTGCATCAAGCTATTTTCAAAATGAAAGAGAACAGAATTAATATTTCCACGTACTTAGTAAACTTGTCATCTACTCTAATGTTAGAAAAATCACAGTGGAATTATTTGTAGTTCACAATGAAAAATGGCTTGCTATGTGTTGGGCTGAGAAACAGATGTGTGCAGATAGCCAGCTACTGATCTGAGCTCCCCAGAGAGCCATGGCCTCTTGCAGACTCCCTCTCTCGGGTTCCTGGCTGGGGAATATGCATATTTGCTCCCTAGCAGCCTTGGAAAAATTCCAGTTAGACTCATATTTTCCTGCCGTTTTCACAGAAGAGGAGAGTGCCTTAAGAAGGTGACAGGGATGGCAACCCACTGGAACATGTATAATCACTCCTTTTTCACCAGATACCATGATTGAGAGATTACTAAAATACTGCAGAGATGTTACATAAAGATGGCCATAACAGACATAACCACCATTCCTCGAGCCTCATTACACAAAACTCTCCTGCCATTACCGACTTTATAAAAAACAGCCAGTCTGGATGATGTTCAGCCAATTCTTTGACACACTAATAACTACTCTGCCAATTATCAATACATTGGAAAAAACCAAGAGCCAACAGTATAATGATAGGCAGAAGAGAAGAAACTGAAGCTGGGATTATCTTCAAGGAGATTCAATTTTCCCTCTTACATAAAAATGGCAAATCATAACAAAAACATTCCAACCCTCAATATTACAAAATTAATAAGAGAAATATAATTAATTACAGTATACTTGGATATACTTTACGGCAGCTGAATACAGTCTTACCAAATATCACTCAAAACTTGTTACAAATTGTATTTATTTATTAAAACCAAGTTTGCTTTAAATATGTAGGAGATTCCAAAATCATTCTGGCAATGGTGATGTCTAATGACCTCCGATCCAGCTTTTGATAACAAACACAGATTTCAGATTTCTTGCATTAGTGGTTTGTTGCACTCCTATTTTCCCAACACTGACATCAAAAGCAGACACCAACAGACTTCACTTTTGCAAAGAAGAGACAGAGAGTAACCGAGGTCATTGCTAAAGAACTCCTACTGTAATGAAATGATCATGCTCTCATTAAATAAATAACTACAGATTTTAGAGTAAGACAGTTCCAAAAGAAACAGGCAATGATGGCATTTCTGTGTTTTAACCTCTTACTCTACTCTGATGTGCTAAAGAGTGGTCATCTCTCTTCAAACCCCATTAAAATATATCAAAGCAAGATCAGCTGTGATATATTGTTAGTACTCAGCACTTCAGTCTAAATGATTTAGTAAGATGTCCACAAGGTCTGATGGTTGCAGTTTTCAAATTTAGGAGTGTATTTTAATACGTTCAGCCCAACTCCTATTTCAGCTCAGTCTCTCCCAAGCCTAAGGCAACTGCATAGCTTATCTTCACCACTTTGAAGTTTCTTTCACATTACAGCACTGTGGTTAACCACACCCTTTTGAGAGATGGTTAGCTATAACCTACAATCACTGAAAATTGAGAGAAGAATAAAGCCTGTGGCAAAATTTGGCCTCTGCCCCCCTGGAACACTAATTATTCTGGGTCCATGTAGTTTGAGCTAACATATGTTGCCATTCACATCAACTTCTAGGATTTATGCGTATTTCTTACACTTTCAAAGAGACATACAATCATTATCTGAAGATTTTTGCAGCCTCTTCAAATTATAATTACTCCATGAAGTACAGTCTGAGGCATGGAAAAGCAAATTTTCAAACAGCATTGGAGGAAACGGGCGTTTATTTGTACAGTCAGTTGGTTTGGTTACCATGTAGGCTCAGAGATGAGTATGACTGTCTGCAACGTAATACGGCATCAACAAAGCAGGAGTGCAATCTCACGCATTTCACACAAGGACTTCTTCAAAAGCCCCAAGGACAACGTGGCTGCACCAAGGCTGCAGGAGAAGTGCACTCCAGGATATGTTCCATGTGCTTAGTTCCCAAAACATCCAACCCAGTAGTTTTCACACTGCAATTCACTTTCTGCCTATGCACCTGGGTTTCTTTCCAGCCAGAGACTGCCAAGGAGAGAGGGAGGAATGGTGCACACCTGAATCTTGTTCAGACCTGCAACCAGCACACAACTGGACCTGGAAGGGACACCTGGGTTATATAACTTCAAAGGAATTTGGATTCCCTAATGACACGTAATCCTAGGAAGGAGAAAATCTGCAAGAGCCATGTAATCAACACAAAATCACAGAGGAATCAAGTTCTTCTTAAAACATAATTTTTCTCTAAGGAAAAATTAAAAGAAAATAAGCCTCTTGGACAAAACATTGTCTACCCATTTTCAATTGCTCCTGATATCCATATTTGTGGCTGTTTCAGTATTTCATGAACTATCAAGGGGATAAGATAAAAGGGATCTCTTCAGAAAATGTTTAAAAAGTTCTCAAAAAACCTCTATGATTTTGGCTTTTTAAAAGGAAACAAATACCAAGAGAATCAAATGCAAACAACAACAACAAAAAAGTATATTGTGTTTCCTAATTAAAGACTAGTTCAAACAGGAACCTTGTCAGCAACTCCAAAGGTCAGATCCTTTATCTTTCCTAATCAGTACATCTATGGAATCATGTTGGAGAAAGATGAAAAGCTAGGGTCATATCCAAACACAAAAGAAAAACAATAGATAGCTTCTGAGAAGAAAATCATAACAAAGAAGCTGCATTAATGAAATGTGCTCGTGAAGTAACCTGCTATCAAACAGCCAATGAACATGGCTAACTTCCTAATGAAGTATGGAAACACTTCAAGGGTGAGGCTGCAGATGTGCATCCAAAAGCCAGACATGTGCAAGCCCATATAAAAACCACCTGAAATAACAACCTAAAGAACTTTTTAAAATAAGGTACCAATGAGCACAGATTCTTGACTGTTTCTCTGAAGAGGAATAAAATCAACAAGCTTTAAAGTGGAATCTGTCTTTAATCAGATATGTTTTGTTATCTGCTATGGGAGCACAGTTTTGCAACTGATGGAAAGCAACAGCAGATGGAAGTCAAGTCGTCTGGAATATCAATAATGAAAAAAAAACAGCAAGAGAAATCAGAATCTCATTGAACCTAAACAAATTGAATTGTTCCTACTTTTCTCCATAAATTCTCTTTTTTTCTAAGAAATACAGACCAATCAAGCACAAATATAACTTTTTTCATCAGGTGTGCTCTATTATTTAGCTTCCAATAATCCCAAATCAGCAACCAAGTTATTGTCTTATCAGAATACCTGAGTCACCCTGATTTTATTGTTCAGGAAGTCACTCAAGCACGTTTGTTAAGTTTTTTACTTAACTACTTTTACTGTCTACAAATGAACATCATGATAGGCACAAAGAATCTGCGGATGAACACTTGCTATTTTTATGATCTTGAGTATCAGTTAGGATTTCTGAATAAAGAGTGTACAAGTGAAATTCAGAATACAAAAGGGAGATAATCTGAAGCAAGGAAGGTGTACCTTTGATGGAAGAGGATCAGATCATGGTACACTTAAGAAAACTGGGCATAAACAAGCCCACAGGCCCGGGCAGGATGCACCCTGAGTGCTAAGGGAGCTGGCAGATGGCATTGCTAGGCAACTCTCAGTAATCTATTAAAACAGGAGAGGTACTATAAGACTGCAAGAAAGCAAAACTCATGTCTATCTTCAGGAAGAGCAAGCAGCAGAACCTAAGGAACTGAGGCTGGTCAGTCTCACCTCAGTCCCTAGGAAGGGTCTGGACCAACTAATCCTGGAAACTGTTTTCAGACTCACAAACAGCAAAAAAATCAGGAACAGTCATGGATTCACCAAAGGCAAGTCATGCTTAAGTAACTTGATATGATGAAATAACTGGTCTGGCAAAAAAGAGGAGAGGAGTGTATGTCACCTCCTTTGGACCTCAGTGAGCCCTTTTGACATGGTCTCCCATAGGATCCTACCACGTGCAAGGGAGAAAGCCAGTTTTACTTCCACAGATTTTCTGTAAGAGCATCAACAGATGAATTTTGAAACTTCATTCAAATAGTACTTGATTCACAGAAGTACACTGCCAGCAACTTCAACATAATTACCAGGACATTCCAGGAAAATTCCATGTTCAGTAAAATAAAGAATATATCCCAGAAAGAGATCACAAGCATTTCTGGTATTTAAAAACATTTTTTCTTTCTCTACCATATGACTTTCAATGTAAAAACTGGTTATGCTTGTAAAGATGCACATTCCTGTCTTGCAAATTCTAATACACAATTCTGGGCTACAGTTTTTCAAAGTTACAAACACAAACTCTTCAAGAACAGTAAAGAGAAGTAAGTTTGCGAAGTCATATTGAATTAAAAGTAACCCTGTAGATCAGAAACATAAGTAGACAACCTAAAGAATATATATAGTTGCTTAATATATGATGAGTCTAAGGAGAGCAGAGGTCATGGCCTCAAATATAAACAGATGGGTCAAAGAACTGAAATGTTCTAGTCATGAAACTGTGCCAATCTCATGATGAAATACAGACACGTTACCACTGTCTTCCTTATCTGTAGAAAAAAGTCCCAGAAGTTCCAGTCTGCTAAAACGGAGTTTACAGAGGCCACTGAATTAATATTTTCATATTCATTCTTAATACTAAGGATTTCAGAGAAAGTTGAAAGCTGTGACAGGACTTAGCAAGTGCTCACCTTAGGAACAGCAAAAGTAATGTTTGGTTTGAATTCTGCAACATTACACAGGAAAGTCTTTACCTTGATTTCAGAGATTTGGGACAAAGTCAGCAGTTTCTCAAACTTGTTTCATTCTCCTGGCACTATTTTCTAAGATATGAACACACAGAGTGTTTTTGCTATGGGTATGAATGATTTGTAGAAGTTATTTTCCAGATTCAAGAGGCAAATATTGTAGTGAGATGAATAATGAATTGTGTTTCTTTATTACAGTTGTCAGAGTTGCATTTCATGAAAATGTACACTCGAAGTACTGATACAGCCAAAGATATTTTCATGACACTGAAATGATGTGGCCAAAACAAGTTTAACTTCTCCTATACAAAATAACCAGAGATTTTATGAATTTCATGTATGGAAAAGTTACTACTTTATTGTATCCAAGAAATAATCTAATCTATCTTCCTTCAAGTTTATTCTGAATTCTTTAGACAGCCTCATAACACAAACCTTTCCAACACTTCAGCCCAGCTATCTGTGTGTACTCCACATACCACACGGAGTTCTATTGACCATGATACAAAGGTGATGACCAGTCCACTTAAATTTTTCCTTCATAAATCCAGTGAACATCATAACTAAAGTAAAAAGACCAAGTTGGGAAATGCAGTTAAGTTGAAGTTTCTTCCTTTTGCAAGGCAATAAGAGAGTTATAACTGATTTCCTACCTTGCACCATCAGCATGGGCTCCTTTCCACCGCCGTGTGCCAGCATCTCCCTACGATAGCGCTCCCCCATTGCCCTGGAGAAACACAGGTGTCAGAGCCATCTGCAAACACAACCTGTCCAGCCTTCACTCAGGTTTGCTTCTAGGATCTCTACAGACCTCACAGAGACCAAATGAAATTTTCCACCTTGAAACAATGGCTGGTGCCACATTAGCTCCTCAAATTCAAATTACATTTAAAATCCCATTATGAGGAACTGAACTAGAAAAGTTTTATTCATGAGTGTGTGTTGGTGTCTATAGAAGTTAATTTGTGAAGAGCATTTCAGGCTTCATTGTGCCCAAGGGAAAAGTTGCTCTGTTACTGTGTCCTGAACATCCAGCAAAGGTACAAGAATGCTTACAATTTGTGACCTCACAATTTGCTTTCTTAATTTCACAAAGCAAAATGAGTAGGAAAGCTCCACTAAGCTTTGATGTTGGTGACATGAAGCTTGTTTAATACCCACAGTTGCTTTGATTTCAATAGAAAATTACAAGTTATTAGGCATCTATGAATTTCAAGCTCTCTAATTAGATCTAAATAAGGATTTCAGTGTCGCCCAGCTGACACACCTGTATTTTAAAACAGTGGCACATTTTTTTTGCACCAATGAACATGTCCCAAAGTACATATATACACACACACACACACACGTATATTTGTGTGTGTATGTGTATATATATATATATATATATATATATATATATATACACATATGGTTATTATTGTATACGTTACATATACATTCTATGGTTATTTTCAGCTTTGTAGTATCTTAAAATCAAGAAAAACACTAAAAACTAATTTGCGGCAAAAAAGCCCACCACCTAATTCATTTCATGTTTTCCAGAAGCAACTAGCATTTCATTCTATTTAACATTTCTGTGTTTTTACCTGTCAAATGGGTTCTGAGCAAAGCACTGTTTCCACACCATAGAGGCAACAGCCCTGGACATGAGGTAGGAGTAGTATTTGGCACCGTAGCCCACAAGGTGACTGAATCTCAGCTGCCAGGCCTGTAAAATGAAAAAGAACCCAAACCCCATGTTATCTTTTAAATTCTTTACATTGTTCAACATTTCCTTATGTATGATGGAAGAAATCTGATCCTATTAATGACAAACAAAAAAGAAAAAAAAGAAAGAAAAAAAAAAGTCACCAGAAATAAATCCCAGAATGAACAATACTTTATCAGAAGAAGCATTTTTCAATCTAAATGGTGTGCATGCAATAGGCTGATCATCAGGATTGAAACTATATATAAACAGGATCAGAAGGGGAGAAAATAAAGCAGTAAAATAAATTACTCATATCTGATAATAGCTGTGTAGTTCTACTGGTCTTGAACAAAGCCCACAATTACCTTGTTACAAGTAACACAGTATTTTGTAATTTTCCATGTGGGTATGTGCAGTATCACATTCAGAAAAGTTCAACTTATAATTTTTGTCAGAAACAAAATGGTAATAGTGATTTGTGTTTAATGCTAAAAAAAATACAGCTTTCCGTGTGGCAGCCATCTTAGAAGTACACAAATTCCATCCACATGCAATGCCATAATTCACAGACTTGTCTGCACATTTTTAAATGTGTGCATATACAGCAGATTATAATCCACAATTATATTGCTATTCATTTATGGATTGTTACTTCACATAGTGACTCATTCAAGTGATGATAGACTTTTTTTAATGCTTTTTAGTGTTGACTGTTTCCTTATGTTTTCTTTGCAAAGAAAATCAGAACTATCAGCCTTATCTTCACAGAAATCAAAATACTTTTTTCTTTTTATTTCCCTGACTGCAACAGAATAATTTAAGTTGTGACAGACCTCCAAAAGTCATCTGGTCCAACCCTCACTCAAAGCAAAGCCAGCTTTGGAGAGATTTCTCAGGGCCCTGTCTAAAGTCTCCAGGGATGAAGATTTCATCACCTCTCCAGTGTGATGTGTTAAGCAAGTAGTTCCAAACTGAAATGCTGTTTCCCAACAGATTGAAATGAAAATAGATGACTGTAGAAAGGAAGGAGTATGAAACTTCCTCTGCCCTTTGGTTCTGAGGAAACTCCAAAGAGAAAACAAGTGCCCTATCTTCTTTGCCTTCCTATCCAAAGTCAAAACTCTTATCATTTTTGTGATATGTCTGTTGTCAAGTTACCCAAAAAGATGTATGTCTATTCTAAAAAAAAAAAAGACCAACTGAAAGGGTGGAAAAAAAGTAAGTATTTGGCTTTTATTTAGTCTTTTTTCCTTAAAAGAAAAGAGAACAAACAGTGCTTCATAATCTAAATTATTTCCAACAGCTGATGAGAAACAAGTTGCTAGCTACACGACCTTCTCTGAGCAACAGCTACAAATAAAGTTCTCCAAGTCAGCCATAGCTCAGCCATTCAAAAGCTACTTTTTACAAGATGGTTACTCCACCCTAAGACAGGTGCCCAAAACAAATGGAATTTGCCATGGGTGTGCAATTGATCCTGTACTGGTGACCTACACAACCAAAGTAGGAGTAGCAAGGTTAAATGAGATGAAAAAAGTCTCCAATTTTCCTATGGGTCTTGATGCATGGCGCAAATTCTTTAAAATTATTGACTTTTTTCTCTTTAAGGTAAAGCACTGTACTGAATCTCACTGTAATGCAAGTGTGTTACAACATCTAGCTCAGACACAGAGTCTCCACTTTGCTTTGAAAGGTATTTTGGTTGCCTTTGAAAGGTATTTGGTTTGGTATATGTTTATACTTTATAGCTAGAGTTTTTCTAACTAGTCCCTTAATTACAACCATAATCATTAAACTAAAAGCACATTTTGAAACAGAGCAGAGAGACTACATTTTTAGAAGACTGAGCAGGAAAACATGTCAGTTTCTTTTATAATAAGTTTTAAAAGTTATGATTAGAAGTTTCTACTCTCTCTCTCTCTCTCTGGAATGTGGAAAACTTTACTGATGAATTGGTTTCACATACTCAGAAATGGTTTTTAGGCTACAAACAAAAATAATTTCCAGGTGTTTGGCATACTGAAGGATATTCCTACCTCTCCCATCAGAAAGGAATTACTTTGATGATCATATAAGCTGTAACTAAGACAGTATGTCTTACTTGAAACCTCAGATTATACTGTTTCCTCCAATCTCTTGGCATTTAATGGTCTGCACCTAAACCAGCTCATCTGCACTTCGAGGTTGATCAACTACTCAATTTATTGGGTTTGTTGAAACTCTGTATCACAATTAAGCAAGGAGAAAACAACAACTTCTCAGCAATCTGTCCAAGACCAAAAGCTTGATTTTGAAGTCTGCACCTAAAATGGCCTCAGTACACTCTGCTCAATTTTTTTTTCACTTTGTCTTTGCTAGGCTTTACTAACAAATGTCACATTGTTTCCTTTCATAAGAGAAAAGGAAACTACAGAAAGACCAAGGAATGACAATGCTCATCTCCCTCTCTGCATCTGCAGAGACTTACAAATATGATGAAGTGGAAATTTCAAAAATTTATTTCGGAACAGAACAGTATCTAAAACAAGAAACAGAAATGGAGGGTGAGTCAAACTGAAACTAAGATTGTCTTCCCACTGCAAACAGCAGTAAAGGAAAACCAATAACAAACAGTGCTATTCCCTACTGAAATTTGAAGCCTGTAATTAATTTTTTTTTAATCAGTACAGATTCTCCCCACTCTAGAGCATGAATAACTCTAGCATGTCATCATTTCTTGTCACTACTTTTGTCCAAGTCCTCACACTAAGTTCCTGATCAGGAACTCCCAATGTTCAATATTACCCACAAACCATTACATTATTCAAGTACATTTTCTGATTCTATTCTGTCCTAACAATTAACTTTTCAAGACTGGACTTAGCTACCTATAAAAATATATTTAAACATTAAAACCCCATCCTCTACCCTAATTCACAAGAAGCTACCTGCCCACATAAAAGAACTTCTTCCTCTCCTCCTACTTCATACAGAGGAGAGATTATGACCTAGGCAATAACATGTTCAAAAACCACAAGAGTATATAGGCTACTGCTCCATTAAAAAGTTCTATGATTAATAAAAAGACACCCCGCATTACTGGGGTGATTATCACAAATAACATTTAAAAATATTTCTCACAAAAAAGAGAGACATTTTAAAAGATTATCACAAATATTTAAAATGAAATGATTGATCTTGTAGCATAAAACTCCATTTCTCCATGGTAATAAATTCAGCTATAAGATGACTTGATTTCTTGTGTTATTTCCAACAAGGAGATATTTCTTCATTAAAAAAAAAAGACATATCAAATTCTCTTTTGGACAGGGTAAAGGCTAGACATGCAGAATTAGGGCAGTCTCCTTATTAAATGGTATATTTTTGGTAAGCAGCTAGAAAGTTAATGAAGACTCTGGGTAATTGCTTACTTCAAAAAGTTCCATGAACCCATTCCAGGAGTTTATAAAACAGTGCATTTTACAGCATAGCCCATGGGTTATGATAATATGCCATCCACAGGTCATGTTCATGCCTGCTTTTTATTCAGCACAACAGACTGCAATAAAGGTGTGTGACTGATCCACTGCTGTTATTAAACAGATGTTCTTGCCACCAACATTATCAATCTTTTCTTATAACCATGTCTGAAGCATTTCCAAAATTCCATGTGCAATGGCTTTCCACCCCATCATGTGAATACAAAAATACCTCACTGATACTTTGTATTCTCACACCTTATCAGGAGTTTTTTTTAAAGTCCTTGTTGAATACATTCCTAGGGTAAGATTCAGTTCATTTTACTCTAGCTACCTAAGCTATATGTGTCTTGCCCAAACTAGTCACATAGGCCTCCCTTGTAGTAGAGGACAGAAATATTTATCCTGTTATCTTTTGAGAGGGTAGGATTACTGGAGGAATCTGAATAATTTACTATACCTTCCATCTTCAAAAATTAAGCCTCTTTGTTCATTTTAACAATATGGTAGGATCAGTTAAACCAAACTATTTTAAAGGTTACATTACTTTAGGATTCAATTATTTGAATTTTAAATTTAGAACTGTTAATATTGTCACAAAAATAATCTGATACAAAAATTTATATGTGATGGTAAAAAGACAAAATTGAAAGAAAATCTGTAGGCATCTTAATATATACTAAGCTAGCTTTTGCTTGACTGGCTAAACATGGTTCTGGAGGGTTCCACTAATTTAATCATAAATCAGTTCTACAAAATCCTACTACACCTTCTGAAAATAAATCCTACAGAAATTCTTGACTATTGCTTGGACTTTTCAAAACATTCTTCCAACAGTTTCTGCTTCAGATACTTTAAAGTACATTTATGTCCATTTTGCTTTGCATCTTAAGACAAAAAACACAAGTGAGAACCTGAAAAGACTCAATACTAAATTAAGGGAAGTACTCGTGTCATTTAAGACTTCTAATTACAAAAAGTGTGCTACAGTAATTACATCAATGAGAAAGTTGTTGAATTGTTTCCGTGAAGAACAGTATTTGATGGAGATGATATCTGGTGCTCTCTCCCTTCTTAATTAAAATTTTATTCTGGCAAGAAATCCAACAAAGGAGCAGCCAACTTATCTCCTTCAGGGGCTACTGGGTGGAGAAGCCCTTGTGTCTGGCACTCAGGTGACACTGTTGCTCCTAACGCCCTTGAATTTAGCTATCAGCAGGGGTGGATAACTCTGGGAGGTCAAGGGGAAGCTGCAGGCTCTGGTTCCTTGGAGCCAGGAGAGAAGGGCAGATAGCATGGGAATGAGCACAGGCCATTTCCCTCTGCTGAGGCCCAGCTTTACCAGTACCAGCAGAAATCCAGGACAATGCTGCTCTGCCATGCAGACAAGCACACTTTGGCCAGTGCTTTGAAATGGTTGATGAGTATCAGAGTGCACAGTTTGCAAACTGTTTGTGCCACCTTTGGAGAAAAGCTGTAGCACTCCCTGACTGCAGAAACAACTCTCTCCATAGGTAAGCAGCAGCTTGCATGGTCAACTTACATTCTGGATTTTTGACC